GGTTTTTTTTTTTCCTTCTGACAGTTTAAACATATTTTATAACACAAGTACATGTTAAAAAAAATAGGTTGTAAAACTATTAGCCCTCCTTTTTTTCTCAACAGGGAATGAATAGCAATTTAGTTTATTATTAGGCAATAAGTAACTTAGTACTCTTGACTAGAAAATAACTGTAGTTTAAACTAAAGCACTCAGATTTTTATTACAAAAATATTCTAGAGTTAAAAAAATAGCCAATACTAATATTAGAATCTTTCTAAGGGTGAAACCCAAACAAAATTGCTAACTATATGATTTGCTATCTTAAACAATATGTTTCATTATCTGTTGATATTTCAGAAGAAAATGAAAAACTATAAATTAGTATCTATATAGTACTTATTACATTTTAGATATTGTTCTAATAGTAGTTAGCTAATTCTTTCTTTACATTTACTTATTTAATCTTATTTTATTTTTAAATTTGTTGCAGGATGCTACACTCACCAGAGAAAGACAAAGAGGGAGAGAAAGAGAGATAGGGACAGTGACAAAGCACCCCCCAGAGGGGGATTACCATGCTGAAATCCCTTCTCTTTCACCTACTCTTGAGATTTTTGGGCATGCACACACACAAACACCTGCCATTTTCTTTGAGTCTTTTTTTTTTTTTTTTTTGACTTGGGTCACATGAGCTAACCTGAGAGAGACAGAGACAGAAACAGAGATAGTGAGAGGGGGAAGTGAGAAACCACTACCCCAGGGTAGATGACCATGTCACAATCCCTTCTCCTCCATTTTCCTGGAATCTTGGGCACACATGTACACACGCCTGGCATGATTTTCAAGCCATTGGCCAGCCATGTGGGAGTCCAGTGTTGTAAACATTCCACCATCTGCTGGCCTCTGCCTGGCATATTTTTCAAACCATAGAATCCAAGGCTCTAACCCAGAAGTCAGCCATGTGAGACCCAGCTGCCACAACCTCTGCCCTCTGCATCACATGCTGACCTCTAATTCTTTTTTTCTTTTCTCTCTCTCTCTCTCTCTTTTTTTTTTTTTTTTTTTTTTTTTTGACATAGGGTGTGTATGTCCTTACAGAGAAAGACAGACAAGCCTGTATGGGAATGTGTGAAATCACCCACTGGGGGGATGGCCATGTCACGTTCCCTTCTCTACCTACTCTCTGCATTTGGGGCATGCATACAAGCACATACACACACACACACACACACACACACACACACACACGCCTGGTATGATTTTTAAGCCACTGGGTCCAGGACTCGAACCACAGTTGGCCATGTCTTGACAACCATGCCATTTGCCAACCCCGAATTCTTTATATCTGATGTCAATCCTCTCAGGTGCTATTACTTGAATTTCACAGATGGGGAAATTAAGACTCAAGATTGCTAAGTAAATTAAGTGGCGGAGCAAGGATTAGATCAAAGGTAATTTGGCTCTAGTCTTGATTTTTACTACAGTTTTATAATGCTTCTCATATGGTAGTTCTTCAGTTTCCAGGGAGAAATTATTACAGCACAATATTGTAGCCAGTGGCTCTCACTCTGACCTATAAAACATGTAAAAAGGCATGAGGACTAAGAAAGTAAGATTTGTATGCATTTAACCATGTGATCATTTTTAAGAGAACAGAAAAGTGTTGTTTTTAATTTGCCAGAGGGCTCCTATGTATGTCAGAAATAGAGAGAGAGAAAGTGAGAAAGCACTCTTCATGGGACATGGTCATGCCATAATCCCTTCTCCTTCATCTCTTCCTCCTTTCAGAATTTTGGGATTTGGTGCACATGGGCCCACCATGTTTTTCAAGCCACTGAGTCCAAACTGGGACAGCATGATTGCCATGAGGGATCCAGCTGCCCAGACTACCATGCCACTGGCTGGCCCAAAAAGAAGACTTTTAAATGTTGGAACTGCAGATTGAACTTACTCCCTGAATTGCTTTTTGTGTTTTTGTTTTTTAAAAATATTGATGGTGCATTAGTTGTTTTTATCACATTAGTGTGTAAAACAGACAAACTATTCTGAAAATACAACTAGAACATAATTTATTTAGGTAATATTGATGAAAAGGCACAAATGTTTGTCCGGATGTGTTTTATAATAATTCACATTGAAAAAGTTCACAATTATTTTAATTAGTAAGTGATGTCATATTAGCTATAATACCTTAGTAAATGTTAATTTAAAATAGTAATCTCGGGACCAGCAGTTAGCGTAATGGCTATATCGCTGGACTCCCACGTAGTCGACTGCAATTCGCGTCCTGGACCCGGTGGCTTAAAACTCACGCCGGGTGTGTGTGTGTGCGTGCCCAAGATCCCAGAGAGGAGAACGGAGAAGGGATTGCAGCATGGCCATCAACCCTCGGGGGTGATTTCTCGCTTTCCGTCTGTCTTTGTCTGTCAGGTGAGTGCACGCACCCTATAGCAAAAACCTCTCCAAAAGAAAAAAAAAAAAAGCAATCACTGTCTTGATTCAGTTATAGAACTCGAAAGATATCAGCTAAATTACCAGGTAAGATTAAACTAAACTTAAACTGGTTATAAAAGTCCTCTTCTTTTCTTTTTTTTTTTTTTTTTAAGAGAGATTTTTGCTATAGGGTGCATGCGCTTGCCCGAGGGACAGAGAGACAGAAAGTGAGAAATCACCTCCCTGGGAGGGTGGCCATGCCACAATCCCTTCTTTTCCCTTCTCCTCTTGGGGTCTTGGGTATGCACACACACACACGTCCAGAGTGAATTTTAAGCTGCTTGGTCTGGGACTTGAACCATAGTCAACTACATGGGAGTATAGCGATGAAACCATTACATCACCTGCTGGTCCCATAAAAGTTATTTTCTATGAGTTGAGAAGCCTATTTTAATAATGTAAAGTACATCCTATTAAAACCGATTTTCCTATTTACATTTATAAATCAATATAGTAAAGCTAAACTACTTAAGAATATTCACAAGAAAGAACTGCAATCTAAAGTCCAAATGAACAAAAAGAAACAAATTTCCTTTTGTCCTACAACATGAATAAAATCCACTGGGAAATAACATAGGGAACAAAATAAATACAAATTACTAATAACATAAAAACTGATGATAACGGTATGTCATTCAATATATTAAGGATCTTGTTTTACTCTTCTCATATGTCTTTATCCAGGAGATACTATATTATCCAGGAGATATTTTGCTTCTTCATACCAGAACAGAAAAAAAAAAAACTAAAAATAATAAATAATAAAATAAAGTATAGTAGATAGAATTAAAAAAATCACAAATGACTTATTTCAAAATAGAAAAGAAACAGATTTGGTAGAAGGAATATAGTAATCTATCTGGAGAGTAAAATTAGAAATGTAAACATATAATAAAACTTTTAAGAAATCATTTTATAAAAATTCATACATTCATATCGAAGGAAAGAAAATACAAGTCTAATTTCAGAGACAAAATTTTTTTCTAGACACAGGATTTTTTTACTTTAAGAAAAATAATTTGTTTTGTATTTATTGTTGTGCTTGTTTGTCATGCCTTTTTTTAAAAAGTGAATTACAAAAAACAAAATTAAAAACATACCATAGTTTTCCCAATAGGTTTCTATACCATGTAATTAAAGCTCACATAAAGGATTAGTATGTAAAGTGAAAAATGTATATATACTTTGCTACTTTACGCTCCTATAATATAAGCTTGGCTTCACTTTAGGTAATATAATTTCTTTCAAAGTGGGTTTCATCACTACAGATAGGGGCATGACTAAAGAATTTATTAAAGTTAAAAGGTGAGCAGTACAAAGGTACTTTTGTTTGAAGGAAATGCTACTGCATATGAAAAGGAAACTTCTATTATAGAAAATAATCCTAAATGTTAGTTTTGCTTCTAGCTATTTTTCCTGAGTTTGCAAAAAGTTTTATAATAGATAAATATGCAAAACTAATTCTGATAGCCTTATATTAGATAATATGAAAAAGCCACTTTTAATATATTTAGCAAATATAGTTCAAAATGAATGATATTAATCAACTATATGAAAAATATATTTAAAAGATAAGCTTTTGTTTAAATTTAAATAATCCCATAAGGCCTGTATTAATTTAAAAAACTAGAAATATAAAGACAACAGCATATCTCACCTAAATGAAGCTCAACTCAGACAAAATGAAAATGTGTTTAATCATTTTAATAAATATATTGTTCAACATTTACAGATTTTAAGAATGACCTACAAATACCCAGTAATAAAACAATTATCAAATCAAACCAATAAAATATATTTCTTGTTGCAGTTTTCCACTCCCGTAATAAAAAATGTTTATGATTTCTTAAATACTATGAAAATACCAACTCTTGAGCTGTTAAACAGTATTAAAATTATAAAAAATGTCATTTTCAGCTTTTTTAGACTACTAGAAATGTTTTCATCAATAGTTTAAAATTGTTTACATAGTCATGTCTCAAATAAGAAAATAAAATTGCATTCACTTTTAAAGATAAATCTTTGCTCAATTTATACATTTATTTTTCACATATGATATCCTTAACTTACATATTAAGAATCCTCAGAAGATACAACTCAATATATAGATCTTCAGAGCTCAGTAGTCACAGTTTTAAGAGAAAAATCCAAAATTTTAGTAGTCTGCCATCTGAATATATTATTTAAAATTAAAAATTCATATAAATTTTCAAAAAATCCTCAGATGATACAAGAAAGGCGATTAAAAACACCAACTCAATATATAGATCTTCAGAGCTCAGTAGTCACAGTTTTAAGAGAAAAATCCAAAATTTTAGTAGTCTGCCATCTGAATATATTATTTAAAATTAAAAATTCATATAAATTTTCAAAAATAATTGATATTTCTTAGATTATCTGGAATCTGCTCATGGTGCACATATGTGAATGAACGAATAAATCCTTAACCCACCATTATCTTTTTCTCCAGTTTGCAGGCAATCACCCGTGAAAAGTATGGTGTAGATGACAGGATGATACTGTACCTGATTAGCTCTGGAGGTGGTCATGGGATCAGATGGAGAGGACTTGGTGGTAGTTGGGGAAGATGGCAATGTCTGGGAACAAAGCAGTTCAGGAGCAAATCAACCTTTATAAGCCTTAAACTGATTATTTAAATAAAACAAAATAAAATAAAATGTAATATAACGAGAACAAAATCCTATGAACAAATTTTTCTCCTGTTCATTCAAATTTAATGGAATTTAAGATCAATTAAGTAACTAATGCATGTAAATATGCATGCATAAGCATGTAAAAATAAATTCATGACTTGAAATCATGACGGTGACTGATACAAATTCACATGAATACTAAAGGTATCCTGACCATATTCATGAATAGTCTCATTTCTTTCCCTTTTTTTTTCCTTGGGAGAGAAGAGATGTCAAAAAAAATTCAAGAAGTTCAATGAGTAAAACTGAAAGAGTTATTTTCCTATCAATGAATACAGTCGGAGATTTGAAGAGTGGTGAAATGAAGTTTACTTTGCCATAAAAGTATCCACCTACTTAATATGTTGAACATCACCAACAAGTTGATTCCACATGAATTTAGGGATCCATACTTAAAAGCAATTAAATTTGTAGTTCTGAGTTCTTAATATCACATTATCTTCTAAAATATTAATTTTTAATAAATTTAGAGCCCGTCTGAAAATGTAAACATTAACCTCATATTAATAAGCAAGTAACTAAGAGCATTCTAAGAAATACCACAATATTTTTATTGTTTACGCTAAATGAGAAATTTAATACAGATGAAAGTATAATGTAGCATCATCAGCCTGTGCTGAAAATAAGCACAAAAATATTTGTAATCATATTTATTTTTCACTTCTTTCTGAACACATAGACATACTATATATAAAATACATTGTATGAAACCATATATACTTGTGAAAAAATTTAAGACATTTTAAAAACTTCTCATGTCTAGTAACCTTGAATTGCAAGATGTCAGGATTTTTTTCTCTTTAAAAAAGTATTGTACACTTAGCAAAACAGCTTTGCTTAAGTAGCATTCTGAATATTTCTTAAAAGGGAAATGGAATAATTTTTATGGTATAGATACAATTATATATGGAGAGTTTATATAATACAAACCCCTAAATATTACTCAGATATGAGCAAACGCATAACTTTAAAGGGTCAGCAGTGTCATGAAAAGTAGATGAAATTACTTAAAGTTATAATTTTACATGTAAAAAATCTTTCAAAGTTCTAATTTACGTAAAATAAAGTGGTTAAGCATAGAAGTAAAAATTGACAAACTCTTTTTTTTTAACTCACTGCCCTCCACTAACAAAATCAGATTGGTTCTAACATCAGATCATGTTTTGTGTGGTCCACTTATGAAATAATTCCTGATTTTTCTTATTTTGAAACTGAAGATAATTTGAAGAAAATATACCTATGGTGAGTATAATACAATTTTTATCAAATCAGATCAAAAAAAGGGGAGGGGGAGGAGAAGAGCTAGTTCCAGAACTATAGTCCCATAAATGTTTTTAAAAATTTTATATCCTTTTTTTTTTATTTTTGCTCTTTAAAATTAATCTTTGTCATTTCTCCAGAGAGACTTCATTTTTTTTTTTTTTTGAGAGAGAGAGGCTTTTTTCCATAGGGCACATGTACTCATCAGAGAGACAGAGAGACAGAAAGCGAGAAATCACCCCACAGGGTGACCATAGCACAATTCCTTCTCCTCCAGTCTCCTCTCAGGATTTTGGGCACACATGCACATGGACCCAGCATGAGTTATAAGCTGTCCGGTCTGGGACTCGAACCGCGGTTGACTATGCGGGAGTCCAGCGACATAACCACTACCTCATCTGGTGGTCCCTGTTTTTTCTTTTTAAGAGAGAAATTTTGCTATAGGGCATATGCACGCACCAAAGAGACAGAGACAGAGACATAGGAAGTGAAAAATCTCCCCCCGCGGGGATAGCCATGTTGCAATTCCTTCTACTCCATTCTCCTCCCAAGATCTTGAGCGCTCACGCACACATGTCTGGCATGAGTTTTAAGCCACTGGGTATGGGACTCCAACCGTAGTTAAACTACATGGGAGTCCTACAATGTAACTACTATGCCATCTGCTGGTCCCAAGAGAGTTCATTTTTCATGATTAAAAATTTCTCTAATATTTTCTTTCCCCCAAATCCTATGGTGGGATATATGCTAATAACTTGATGCTGCCATATATTTCATGAATTGAATAGTAAAAGTTTCCTTTCCCACTGCTGGTTTTAACTGTTTCTATACAATATTCCTGGGAGGAGATAACATACACTTAAAAGTCTATACTCATCTCAGATGAATAGTAAGGTTGGGATGTTAAATAAATCTAAAGGACATTTCTCCCACTCTAGGTTACAATCCTAGTTCATAATCCTATAGAAGCATAGGATTCTGAGGTATTAGACTCTTCTATTTCCTTCAAGGTCAAATCAACCTGAAGTACAATGGGTTCACTATGACATCCACCTTGTCCTTTCTTTTTGCTTGGCATATAAATGAAATAATGGAAATGTATAATAATTTATGCAATGCACATTCATTAAGATTGTTCTTAATAATTCTGATATTATTTCTTTCCCACAGGAACAAAAACAACACTTTTAAAACTCCGGATAACATTAATGTGTTTTAAAACAACTAAAGGTTTGGTTATTAAGTGTCATAATCTGATAAGAAGTTATATTTCAATGCCTTTTATAAATAGGTGAAAATTATGAAAGTTTGGGCTTCAAGGGATAAGATCATTGAAATGTCAAAGCAAATTGTCTCTAAATAAAATGTCTTGGTTTACATTCCTAAAATAATGAAAATGTAACAAAATAAAGATGCAACACATTTTCTAGTATATTATTCACAGGTAGTTTTTTTTTTGTTGTTGTTGTTGTTTTTTGAGAGATTTTCACTGTAGGGCGCGTGCGCTCGCCAGACAGACAGAGAGAGACATAGAGACAGAAAGCGAGAAATCACCCCCCGGGTGGATGGTCACGCCGCAATCCCTTCTCCTCCATTCTCCTCTCGGGATCTTGGGCACGCACGCACACGCGCCCGGCGTGAGTTTTAAGCCACCGGGTCTGGGACACGAACCACGGTCGACTACGTGGGAGTCCAGCGACATAGCCATTACGCTAACTGCTGGTTCCCTCACAGGTAGTTTTAAGCACAAAAAATGTCTCTTCTCTTTACCAATTCAATTTGTAATGATAAAAGTATTCCAAAAAGTTTTTGTTCAGTTGATTTTTTTTTAAAAAGCACTAGTAGGAAAAAACAGGTAAGTGTAAATACATTAAACTATTGATTTAAAAGGTTTTGTTAATCAGATTAACAGATCAGCTATGGCAGTTGTTTCAACCACACTAATGAGTGGAACAGAAATATCCTAAGGAAACACTTTAATATATATTATATTGTTTTCTTTAATATATTTAAGTAAAATGCTTATATTCATTTACTTTGCAAAGTTAATAAGGTTTAGTGGTTTCAAATTAAATATCATTCAGTAAAATTTCTGGTAAAATCATGCAGATGAGTTAACTGAATATCCATATAACATCAATATATTGAAACTTTTGCTATAAATAACTTGTATAAAGAACATACTCCTCCAAAACTATTGTTTTATACTTTTCAAATAGTGACTATGAAGAACATAGTCATTTTTAACCACCATTTTCTCATTCAAAATATAAAGTACGTTTTTTATTTTATAGGCCTGAATGTCTGTTTTATACAGAATTCTTAAGATAATTAAGATTGAACTACTTGTTACAGAAAAATGTAAAGTACTTTAATTTTAAAATAGTGGTTCACTTGGAATATAAAATGATTTTTTTAAAAATCAAGAAGTTAAAAAATAAGAAATTTAACCATAGGCATTTACTTAAATGTAAGGACAATTAGGGTTTTGGGAGTAAGGATGAAAAAGTTATTATAAATTATAAGACACTATCTCTTTAATAAGTCAGTTTTGCTGGACCAGAGAATATTACAACAAATAAATTCTATAATACATGAAACTTGCCTTCAAGTAATTCTATGGTAATATACTGTCAAGAACCTCTTATATTTATGGTATAGTGCAGACAAGAATGAATCGCAAATTTTAATTGTAATTTGGACTCCAGTAATAACTCAATTATCCACCTTACCAAACTTTACAAGTTCTGTTAAACAATTCCTCTATGCTACTTCATTAAAAATATGGATAAATTATTTAAATATATAATTGTCATCTTTGGTTTTCATTCCTGACAAATGTTCTCCCCTTCTTCCTCCACCTGAACTATCTTCCAATGTCTGAACTAGTCAATTCATAGCTCCCTTTTCCTGCCAATAGCTGTACCTACAAGCACCCTGAGATTCCATGTGGATTTTTTCACACAAAGAACAGAATGCAGAGGTCTCCCCTGCCTTTTTTCCCCATAACCACACTGAGACATTAAAAGGACTTTTGGGAAAATACCAGGAATAAATAATTCATACTCAAAAGGATGCCCACTGGCCAGACATCCAGGGCTCTCCATTATTTGGACTTACCCTAGCCAACTACCATGAACTTTTCTAAACTACAACACAAATGTTCCACTTATGTCAAGACAATCTCCTAATGATAACCTTCTCTCGAATTCCGTACTGTTTCACTTGTCTGAAACAAGTTTTTTTCCTTTTTTCTCCTCTAATTAGGCAATTCCTATAACAATCTTCAAGGTCCAGTTCAAGTCTTTGCCTATTTACAAGTCTATTAACTGTCACTCTAGCTGACATTTAATTGACATTCTCCTGAATTTTTTCTTTCTTGCTTGCCTTTTTTTTTTTTTTTTTTAAGGTTTTTGCCATTAAACACATGTACTCTCCAGGGAGAGACAGAGAAGGAAAGTGAGAAATTACTTCCAAGGGGGAATGGCTATGCCACAATCCCTTCTCCACTCTCCCCTCAGGATTTTGGGCACACACACATGCGCGTGCATGCACACACACATACACGCACACACACCCCCGACATGATTTTCAAGCTGCTGGGTCTGGGACTTGAACCATGATTGGCCATGTACAGTGCCCCAATCCACCTTCTCCCCCACCAGCCTGAATTTTTATATCATAGTTCTAGTCTATAAATACAGCTATACATTTTTAAGTTATTTTAAGGACCTATGATTATCTCACAAACTATTCTTGAGGGCAAATGCTACAATTTATATATTTTATAATTCACTAAGAATACATTCACTATATTGATGACTGAATGAATAATGAACAAATTAACAAGTATTATTTTTGCCAATTTATTGTAACATTAAAATTCTTTGAGCTAAATGAAATTTTTTTAATATTTAACTTTTTGAAATATTGTGTAAAAGAATTTTTTTAATGCCCATAGTCCTCTCTTTTCCAATGTAGCTTTTCTTAAAAATATATCTCTGAATTAAGAATTGAGCTATTCACAACATCAAATATATGAAGCTGTATATAAGGCTGTCAGGCTAGATTTCAGCATTTTCCTATAGTATGAAAAACTTGTGAGACCAGCGTGCACTGATCTCCTGAGAAACCAGACAGGCTTCAGGACCTGTTTAGTCAGTGCGGGTGGGTTTCTTCTGGGTCAAGTATATGCCTCATGCAATTTACTCAGTTACCAACTGTATCTAGATAACACAATTCAGAATATAATAACTTTTAAAAGTTCATCATAACAGAGCATATAAAATCATAACTGTTAAGGCCAATTTGTTAAGAACTAAATTTGACTTTTCTATTTTATCAAAATTATATATAAATTTTACTTTTTAACACACAAAATCTTAATAGTGTCAACCATAAAAATAGACAAAGACACTAACTGAAACATTAATAAAATCCATAATTTTATATTTAACATGAATCCATTTCTTCCATGCAGAAGTTACATATTCTGGCACCAACAATTTTCAAAATCCTAGTTTTATTCTTTAAATAAATTTCTCTAGAATAAAACTGCTAATAAAAGGCTTAAAAATTAACTTCAGAACTAAAGCCCTGAGTAAATATAACGTTACTAGTTATAAGAAAAAGTACCATTTAAAAAGAAATCTTGCTATGATTCTATGCATCAAACTCCAAAGCAGGACTAATAAGTGGTATGGAGGTTAAAGCGCTGAATCCCACATGACCAGCTCCACAGTAAAGAGTCTCAGACATGGCGGCTTCAAAAATTCACAACAGGTACATGAGCTTACATGCCCCAAATCCAGAGATGATACTGGAGAAGAGACTGTAGTGCAGCCATCCCTCCTGGGGGAAGGAGGATGATTTCTCACTCCCTTTCTTGTGAGTGCATGTGCCCTATTAACAAAATATCTAAAAAAAAAAAAATTCTAAACCTCATGCAAAATATCTTTCCATCTATTCTACAGCGAAATGATTTATTTTAATGATAATAATTCTGAATAACTAGCATCATTTCTTCAGAAATAAAGTAATGGTCATTCAAATTTATAAACTTGACATACTATTTAGAGAATGATCCAGCAAAATGTACTATATTGATAAAACTAGGTACCTATAAAGTTAAATTCCAAAGTTAGAGCATTAAAAAAAAAACCTATAATATCTTGAAAATACATTACATCGCTAAGATTTTCAAGTAAATCTTTCATTTTGTACATTACAAAGAAAATGTTTAAGTACTAAATATATTATGCTACTAGATTTAGTGTTTTCATTCAATAAATCCTATTAAATAACACTTTCATATACATTAGTGATTACATAAAAATATTGTCATCATTTTAATTCCATAAATATCTACAAGTCTTATAAATGAATGCAAATACACACAAGTGAATCAATCACTATTATTTTTGAGCACTTATATTGAATTTTAAAAATTATCCAAATAAAGCAAAAACAAATAAACATTTAAAAATCCTAGTCTTAAATCTATACCAGCACTGAATATATGGAAACCTGTAAATCTCATATTACCATGGAGAAAACTGGAATTATAACAAAGGTTTGTAGATCATTATTCAGTGGTATCAGCTATTTCTTTTCATAAAAATAATTAACTCATATCATTTACCTAAATATATTGTCAGTGATATCACATTAATAAAATACATTGCATGTTTTATTTTTATAAAATACTAGATATTCTCAATCCCTAAACGCTTGAATTTTCTCACAAAACTTACAAAAGAAAAAGTAATAGGCTGGATTAAGGCAGGAAGTCAAAAACTATGCATCAGTGCTCACTTTGTTAATTATCAGCCCCAGATGATATTATCCTAGAGGTCTTTAACTACTTTCTTAGCTTTAAAATCTGAATAAGGTTATGGTATTAATATTATGTCATGAGTCTTTAATCTATCCTTTGTATTCACCTAGCATATATAAATACTTCAAAACTATAAAAGGTTGTGTAGAATTTTAAAAAAATCCACCAATGCTAGTTTTAATATATTTATATGCTGCCATGTGCATATTAAGGGATATTGTGTTGAAAACTTAAGGTGTACAAATTGAACTATATGACACTGACAAAGGGCATTATGAGTGATTTTAAATGGAATAACAGCTACCTACTCATGATTAAAATATGAAAGGACTTTTTTAAAAAGGTAATTTATACAAAATATTAGCCTATAATTTGAAAATAATTGCCTAATTAATTTATATATCTACATTTAATTAAATGGTATTGTATTTATCTCTGTATTGGTAATATTGAAATAGATTCATAACACTTTATTATAAAATATTTTTCAATCCAGAAACATGAAATTAATAAGACTTTGAGCTACGTTAAAAATTTATTACAATGAACATAAATATTCTGCAAATTAAATATTCTGAGAATTAATGAAAACTAATACATTTCTTTTGAAGGCATAGTCTATCGATAGAAAAGTTATATCACAAGTTAAGAGACTAATTATAAAAGGGCAAAAGCAGAAACATTAACTAATAATATAGAATATCAAAATTTATAGATTTAAAAAGTTATGGTGGAAGAATCCACATTATTTAACATTAAATCATGTCATTTTCTCCCTACATCATGTAAGTCATTACTACTCAATCATAAAAACTCACATTAGATTTTTTCAAGTTAAAATTTAAACAAGATATCTTATTTGTAACAAAGGACTATATGCTAGGTACATAAGTTTACTTATACATATTTGTTGACGAAAAATGTCAAAAGTGACAACTAACATAACAGGAGTCTATATGCATAATAACCATACCGTAGACCACAAATGTCTCTGAAAACAGAGTATTAGAAACTTTGAAGACAAAGTTTAATTTCAATTTTTATACTTTTTAAAACAGTACTAATTTTAAAAGATGAAATTCTTGTAAATTAATAAAACGTGCCATCTATTAATTTTTAAAAAGAATAATCACAAAGAGTCACATAAGTGCTCTTCAGTGTAACACTAGTCAATGAATAATTCAATTAGTAAATCAACTAATCGATCTATGAGAGACCCTAATAGTCTTTAAATAACTAAATGACAACTCTGTTATGTTTTAAGTATGCTTAGGAAAAAAAGACTTTAAATGCAAAGATTTTTAAGGATTCTTTTGTAAGAAATTGACAACAATGCTGCAGGTATTTTTCTTTGATTTCTCACTAAACACTCACTTGTTTGATGCGGTCTGGATTAACGGTGGTCTGAGGCTGTAGAATGCTGACTGGTTCTGTCTTGGCCACATTTTGGGGCATTTCTCGAATTTTTTCTGCAATGAATCCATGAACGGCATTCAGTGCTTCAACTGTTCCCTGGATCAAGCACACTCGCTCAGTAGTACCTGTGGATAAATGATTAATTTTCAGAAAACATTTCTTCTCATTTTGCATTTTAAAAAAAAGGTATGAAAAAGGATGATATAATAATGCTAATAAAATAATGTAAAATGTAGAACTCTACAGTAATAAAAAATATTCAAGGTACAAAATATAATATTTACATATCTCTTTTAGTATTTTGTTTTTAAATTGTTGTAGTCCTCAAATAAACCTTTGGATCTTAGCAAGACAAGAAATTCAGAGAAGTTCTGAGCATGTAATTTATTCATTGACATAATAAATACCTACTAACTACTTACAAAAGGACTTAGCATTAGAAACTGCTAACACACATATGAAGCTCTATAGACTCAGCTTTCAAAGAGCTTACTCTTCAGGGGAAAAACAGACACTAAGCCAGATAATTCTATGACTTACAGTATGAAAAATAATGCAAGTACCATAGATAGTATAGAGGGCCCATAGTGACAAGAGTGTTTAAATCTATTGGGAAAGGCAGTCTTGGGAAGTTTACATCATAAGTAAATTCTCAATTTCTAACAGTTTCTAGTCATTTACTCTGCTCTTTTAATCACAGAAAAATCACTACCTGATATTTTATATTTATTTACTTTTTACTTTTCTGCTTGAATGTAAGCTTTAGGTGAACAGTGATTTAGGTTATTTTGTGCTGTTGTATCCCCAAAGCCTGTGATAGTCTCAGATACATGAGATATATATAATAGTTGCAATAAATGAATTAATGCTGCCTTCATTGACAATATAATTTGAATAAAGAGAACATCAAGGTTAAAATAAAATTTAAAAATAGTTTGTGAAATTTGAAATTCATGAATAGTCGATAAAGATATTATTAATGGTATTCGTTTCATATCCAGTGAATAACATGAATAACATGTAGATATATGATATGAGACAGAAATAAAATGAAATAGTTGATCCAATACGTAGGTCTTATAATGATTTTATACTTTACATATACATCTTAAAGCAATAAAAATCAATGATTTGTTTTTGAGACTATTCTGAGGCTTCTTGCAGCAACCTGGTAATAAACTGTAATCTTCTCAGTATCCTAACACATCACATAAACTCACTTTTCAGATTTTAAATATGTAGTTTATCCAAACAGCTGCCACCCCACCCCCCAAAAAACCAAAAGAATGGTGTCTTACAATCTGCAATTTAAAAAAAAAAAAAACAGAACATTTTTACGTATGTAACACATTTCTTTTTGGTGCTACTGTTTACAAATTCCACATCACTCTGCAAAATTTATTGAAAATATATTTTGAAGAACAAAGTTGTAAAGCTACAAACATTTAAACAATCACAGGAAGTTTACAGTGCTCTAAAGGTTATGAAACAAACCACTTACCAGTAGTTTTGGAAATTCAAGAAATATTAATAGTAAATGATTATCTCTTTACTCTTAGAAACATTTAGATCACGGGAATTAAAAGCAAAAAACTATAGGGGTACATCTAAATTAAATTTTCATGTTTTAAACTATAAAAACTCAGTCTATGAAAAATTAAGTTTTCTTAAGTTTGTATTTCAATAAAGAGCAGGTATGGCATTCACTTGTAAGGATGAAAAGAACCTGAGAACATAATGTGAGTTTGTGGACTTAATTTCTCCTGTTTCTCTTCATCAGCTTTTCTCATTCTATTTTATCTTGATGCATCTTTGTGGCTCTTGGTAAAATGATCTAGTTTATAGAGATACTCTAGGGAGTCTTTACAAGCTTGTATTAATTGTCCAATAAATGGCTTGAAAGGATGGAAATTGATCAATGTAGCTAACACAAAGCGTTCTTACCCAAGTCAGCAGGCAACACATAACATAGATCAGATTACATTTCTGCTTTTGAAGACATGCAGAGTGCACTTTTCTGAGTGTGCCAAACAGTAGAACTTAAGAATATATACATTTATATTTTTAAGAAAACATGCTGCTAAGTAAATACACAGGCTATACAATCTATATTGTTTTTTAATTCCTTATTTAAGAATTATTTTAACTTTATTTATTTTAATTTGACCAAAGCGGGACAGAGAGAGAGAGAGAGAGAAGGAAGGAGAAGGAAGGAGAGAGCAAGCCACCAGTTCTGGGACTCGAACCATGGTCGGCCATGTGGGAGTTCAATGCTCTTAACCACCACGCCATCTGAAGGTCCCATTGTTTTTTTAATTTTGATTTGACATAGCACATATCATGTCTTTGACCAAAGCGGGACAGAGAGAGAGAGAGAAGGAAGGAGAAGGAAGGAGAGAGCAAGCCACCAGTTCTGGGACTCGAACCATGGTCGGCCATGTGGGAGTTCAATGCTCTTAACCACCACGCCATCTGAAGGTCCCATTGTTTTTTTAATTTTGATTTGACATAGCACATATCATGTCAGATCATGCAGTAGCCCAATACTCAACTGTACAGACTAACATGCTAAATGGAAATCGCTGAGACATAAAGAAATATGATTGTGTAAAACTAAATTTTACATAGCAGCATGTATGAGACAACTGGAAAATAGTTCATAGGTTCACAGGTGCAGTACATATTCTTTGAAGATTGAATTATACAATTTCCATTAGAACTATTACGATGACAAAAGCGAGAGAGATTATATATCTACCACTGGGAAGTAGTGCAATCCTCAGAAGAGATGCTGTCATATTCAGCTGAACTCTAATGGCCTTTTCACACAGATAACACAAAACCATAATTTTTAGGCAGAAGTCACAAAAAAAGAAAACTGTCAGGTATATGACCAAACTGTGTAACACAAATGAGTCTATAAATCATAAAAGTTGCTGGTTTTTGTCACTTTAAAGGCTTTTAGGCTCCATTAGTGTCTACATTAAACTGCCAGTTATTTATCATTTTATTTGTTTAACAGCAGCATTTACTTCTCTTTGTAATAGACTAGCAACAAAAGCTGAAAAATCAGTAACATAAAAGTACTTTCCTCCATTTCATGTAATGTAAAGACACAGTTATATAAGACACCATTTTTAAAAATTGCACTTTTAGAGAGAAATGACAAAAACTGTAGCAAGAAGGGTCAACTGTCCGACATAGACAGGGATATGCGAAATAGCTTTAAGTTTTATCTATTTGTCATAGTAGAGAACACATATGTACATACATGTGCATGTGAGGGA